AAGAGATTTTTTTGGGTTTGCTTTGTCACAATCTGATACGTTTAAAGTCCAAACAGGCAATCCTCTTATTGCTGGTTTAATGATAATCACTGTATAAAACTTGACTAATACTAATTGTTCAGAGAGACACAGTCACTCAACAATAAAATATTCTCACTAATGTTGAATAATGGTCAAATCCACCTTTATTTTGTGATTTACCGATAATGTCTATTGACTTGGGTTGCAAAGGTTTGTGACTTTTAAAATATGGGCCCTCAGAAAAAAAAAAATGAGAAAAACTGGGCCCATATTACACTATTTTCTGATCTATATTATAAGACCTGACATTGTGTTTTGTTTCATTCACACGTTTAACACACAAACCCTGCATATCGAGACTGAGTTCTTCTCTCAAACTGAAAATACTGAAGTGCTCCATACACCTTCACTAGAACAATTTGGATAATTTCACCCCTGGAATTTCCAATCTCTATTGAACAAAAGGTAAACGATAGCTGTTAACTTGAAAACTACCACTTCATAATGTCACAAGACGGGACAAACCATTTTTGGGCTTTGGGGATGTTGACAGACTAATAATAAAGTCGCGTTTTCTGAAACATAACACAATTCCAGGTATGTATTTGATGAGGTAACAGCATTATAACATGGCTTAAAGTTCACAGGAGTCAGTTGTGTATAATATAGGACCTTTAAAGTAAATACAAAATGTACCATACAAACACTATCGGTTTTAGAACTCCACACTTTTTCCAGTTTTGTTAATTATTTACTGTTTGCAGTTGACCAAAATTTATTCAAAACTTTTGATTCATGAAAGTGTCCACCTTTTCTTTTTACAATAGAAATCAAATATTCTTCAGAAAGTTCTTCCCAAGTCTGTTGCAGAAGTTCTCATAAATGTGTGGCACTTGTAGGTTTCTTGGATTTTACTCTTCTGTACAGTTCATCCCAAAACCAGAGCGATGGGGTTTAAGTCTGGAGACTGTGCTGGACACTCCATATTTTCAAGCTTTACCATCTTGATCTTTTTTCCTGAGGTAGTTTTGGCAGAGCTTGGACTTGTATTTTGTATCTTTTATCTTTTTTAACCTCTGTTCAGTATTTACCTTTGTACCATTTCAAACTATTCATTGGATTTGCACGACTTGAATTGCAATAAATAACTGGAAAAATTATGGTGTTCTAAATCTTTTGACCGGTAGTGTAGACCTAACACCTTAAACCAAATGAATGATAATCTGCTACTGCTCTTCTGCTACTTTGTCTTTTTAAAGGTGCCCCCCAGCTGCTTATCTACACGATGTTGTTGTTGCTTTGCCTGGAAAGTTTCACAGTATGAATTATCTATCTCCATGGAGAGGAGCACCAGATCAGATCTGTGGAGAGGTAAGCTGCTCTCCAGAATAAATGTTTTTCAAGATTTTGTTTTAGCAATGAGAACACCTACAATTGAATAATAATCAAGCTATCTGGACTTTATGCCATACTGTGGAACATTAGAGAAAAGAATAATATCTCCAGTATCTAAGGAGAAAAGCAAAAAGTTACATAGTATACCTTTAAGTATGTGACATTTACAAACCATTCATGCTATAAGTGCTTTACAAAGTGGGGCAGTCTCTGAGGATTTCTGCTCAATGTCTCAACAATAACAGACAGAAGCAGAAGCAGGAACATGCGCTGCTCCATTAATCGCTGTCTGTCTCTGCTCTTTTACACACAAGGCTGAGTGAGGCTGTGGCACCTGCAGCTCCAGTCCAGTCCTGGCCTAGTCCTGGCTCAGTCCTGGCTCAGTCCCGGCTCAATTCTGGCCTGGTCCTCTCTTACATAAACACAGGGATGAGGAGTGAACAGTGAGTGCTCTGTTCAGACTGACTGGATTATTAACATGTTTACCAATCCACCTGAGACACGTCAGGCTGGTCAGCTCTAGACTGTATGAGACTAACTGTAACATATCTGAAAATACAATCTTTCATTGAATGTTTGATAGATTTCAGTTCATTATGAGCGATCATGCAAGCTGTATTTGTGTTCTTTAAAGAGCCCATATTATGTTATTTTTGGATCTACGTTAAAATGTTGTTTCTTACTCAAAAACATACCTGAATCATTTGAATGATTTCAGCCTATTTTGAGCTTTGAAAAGGATAACTGAAACATGTGTAACAACATTATAATATGGCTTAATGCTCACAAGAATCAATTTTGTGAAAGTGAACTTGCTTTTTCAAAAATATTTCAAAAAGTGGTGCCATTATTCTAGCCTTATTCATCAGACGGTTTCATTTTGTGGAAACTGTGTGACCTTGCAGCATTAGGATTCATTCGCTTGACAGTACTTTTTAAAATGTATTTAAAATTTGTTTTTTTTAATTTAACCAATCACTGCTATTTGGTCGTGACATATGTAATGCACCGGAATGCTCAGTGGTGTCCAAGTAATTGCCGGCACAACGGCAAAGCAGAGACTGAATATGTCTGTCAACGATCTTTGTCATTTCTGCGAGATGATCCTGCAAATTAAAGGTGCAACAAAAAATGCGAAGTTTGTATTTGACAAAGGAAGTCTAAAGGAGGATAGTGTGTGCAGTCTGCTGTCGCAACTCAGGCTGGTTCAGCTCTTCGCTGATTGGTCAGTGTGCGTTCTCGCACTTCCGGGGTTCTTGCAAACCGTCTGGTGTATTCTGATTCCTGACCTAGTCACTGGAGAGAAGTGAAACTGAGTGGAGGCACTAGGTGGCGCCAGCCTGGCTACCATTATTCATCACCAACAATGTGATTGTCAGTTGAAAGGATTTAAATCCATAAGATTATGGAACCAATCCTCAACTGATTATGATTCAACATTTGTGGGCCATAATTTTGGATGTTTCTTTCAAAAACCCTCCCATAAACTTATATACTGTGCTGTAGGTCCATGTCCTCCATCTGTTTGTCCAGAGAGCTTAGTTTGACCGTTTGTAGTGGTCACTGGTCAGGACATTTTTGCCAAACACTTTCAAGAGGACATGGATTTCTTTTAAGCAAATCGAGGAAATATCAGTTTATAAAAATATCCATGCTCTGGCTTTAGTCATGTCGTGGTTTCTGTTCGTGTGGTCACTCTACAGCTGTACAGTCTTTATCAAACACACCACAGATTCACATGTGGGAAGGGTGCGTAATTACCACAAAGATGACTAATACAATCTATCTATAATTTACCCGCTGATTCATCTACTTTATTTCATTAAGTCTGTTACAAATTGCCTCATGGTAAAATAGTGATATTAGTAACACAGCTTTTCAATCTTATGTCAGAAAAACTAGACTAATATAACTATATAACACTTTTTTTCTGTTGCACAATTTGGATTCCTCTATGGCAATATTCAGACGATATCACAATATAAGGAAATGTTGTTAGTTGCTTGACCAGCCAGTTGCTTCTACATTCTGTTCAAATACAGAAAGGTCTGGAATAGGACAATAGAGGGTGAAAATCCTCTGTCCATCTGGTCCAACCTCAGCCACTAATTTGTATCACATGTCTCTTAAATGCATAAGACATCTCTCCAAAATTCTAGTAACATTCAGAACAAAATACATAATTTCTTTTCAGGAACGGACCACGCCTGTCAATCACTTGCTCTGGAATCAGGGGGGATATGGCTCCAGACCACTTGTCTTTGTAGATTTTTGTCAAAGCGTGTCGTTCTAGCTGATCTGGTAAGTTAGTTAGTTGTCTCGTCTTACTGTACTCTTTTAATAGTTTTACCACAGACAGTGTCCTCGATATTCACATTTTGCAAAACAAAGTAAGTCTCCAAAATCCTATCAAAAGAACTGCTTTGATAAAGTTTTGAAAACAGGCAGCTCAAACTTCTAATAATGACCAGGTAAAGATACATTTAACATGCATGGCAACTTATAGAACTGAAAATGAACCCTGTTTAACGCACTCGCCTGGTTTTTGAGGAAAATAGGTCTGAATAATGCAGCCGTACCTCCCGGACAAGCTGTTTTTTCCCACCCACAGAGCAGTTATCTGTGCTGCTGTCAGTGCGTCTGTCAGTACCTGTCCCTATCTTCCTCTCATCCATTATCCCCAGCTGTCATCCTGCTGTTTCTCTCTCTCTCCTCCATCTTTGATCTGTCACTCTCTTTAGCCGGGGAAGAACAATCTGGAAAACTTCAAGTCTCAATCAAAACCATACCCATTTCAGATATTTAAAATTGATGTATTTTTAAGTGCCCCAAATCAAAGTACATTAAATTACTATATCAACAATGACTGCCGGCAACCATTTTTATATTTTTGTTATGTTACCAATGTGGAACATGCACACTCCTCAGACACCAAATGAGTAAATAATCTATGATGAACATTAGATTACATAAAAGTCAATGACAGCACAAACTTCAAACATTGCATTTCTTCACTTAAAAAATTAGGTAGTACACATGCAATTCTATTCCCATATAATGATTTTGGCCAATAATTAAGTGTTTAATGAATAGCGGTGTAACGATATCCAAGTCTCACGATACAATATTTTCACGGTATGAACCTCACAGTATGATATTTATTGCGATATTGTGGGAAAGCTCACGATATGGTGGGGAGACTCGTGATTAGGGATGTAACAATATGCAACTCTCACAGTACGATATTTACAAAGACTGTGAATATGTTTCTTTTTCATCTTAAAATGCCTTGACAAGACTTAATCCAAAGAACTAAGACTTAAAAGTGCTTAGAACTGTTATTTCTTCATGTAGTCTACACTGAAATGGAGAATAAGATCATGGTCTATGTAATTCCGTCTGTCTTTTTTTTAGCTACTGCTGCACCATAACTCTTAATTTAAGCAAAGAGACTTATAATTCGATGGTTATTGTGATGGTCCACGATATTATTGTGAGAACTTTGACGATACGATATCACGATGTTTCGGTTATTGTTACATCCTTATTAATGAACTTTAGTTTAAAAAAAAGTAGAGGCCTACCTTGGAGGTGCCTGCTCCTGTAGTGGTCTTTGGGTTTGGTTGGATGTGCTCTGGCGTTAATGTCACATTTTGGCTGCTCATATCTGTGACGGAAGAAAAACGAAAGTAATTTATCATGAAGAAATGGAAAAATCCACTTATTTAAATCATCCAAATACAGTGTTGTTCATATATAGCAAGTTCTCAAGCTTCATGTCCTTTTAGTTTGATTGGTATGTTATGCTGCTCATCTCCATAAAGATGTCTGCCTGGACTGTTCCCATGTATGGCATTAAACCTGTCTATCCTGCATGTACTCAGTTACCATTTTTACAGCTAAAATACCTATTCTTATTGTAAGATGCAGATTCTCCACAAACGTAACCTGGCCTAGTGAAATCAGCTGCTTGTTTCATGAAGATAAATAATGTCATATTGCAGAACATTCCATAACAACTAAGCAATAATATCTCTATGGAGAGTTGATGGTGAACACATAAGAAAAGTAACACACTGCAAGTTTAACTAAATGATTTGTGGTTAACTGGTGTCTCCAAAAAATACAGGGATTAAGTTCTGATGTGAGAGCCCTGAGGAGGGAGCGGGCAGAGGCGAGACGGAGCGTGGGACAGCCGAGGGTATGGCAGAGCGACAGGGCCAAAAACCATCCCAGGACAAAGAAACTCAAGAGGGAAAATCCACACTTCCATATGTGTGCTAATGTGCTGCCTGGCTCTGGGCCTGGAGCCTTGTTAATGTGATCTGCAGCTGAAGAACAGAGAAGTGATGCCAGCACTGTCCGCACTCTGTGACCTTTGACCTCGGAGCTACTGTCTGGAGAAGAGGAGATGTGAGTGGCATACTAGAGTGCACTCTAAAAAGGAATATATGACATGGGTAAAATAACGACAAGTAATCCTGATTTTAGTGGTTTTGACAGTTTTTTGAAGCTGCATGGCTGGGTTTCAGATGGCATTACAGAATTCTATAGGCCAATAATATTTAATACAGATGGAGAAAGCTAAAATGAATATCGTTAAAATGCAGGTTTTTGTTGAAATATATGAAGTTCAAGGGTCGAGTCATAAGTAAAAATAATCAGGTTCAGTATTTGTGAATTATACTTTTACATATTACTATGAAAATGTAATCAAAAGGAAAAACTGGCTCTTGCATCTGGGAGTACAGCAATAAAGATTTTTATTATAGATATTGTATTGATTTAGCCTACTTAGTTGTTTTTATATATTATAATATATAAATATGATTTATATGTATTTTATCATTGGTAATTGTTTGTCAATGGTGGGGCCGAAGAGAGAAGCTTTTATTTACAACACTACAGCGCTTGGGAAACTGTTGTATGTTTAAAATTAAAGTGATTTGGATTTTAAGAACTGGGACAATGAGGGATGAAAATGTATTTAATTTCAGTGTTTTTTATTCAGGCTAAATGATCTATAACAAAGGTGTCCAAACTTTTTTGACCGATGGCTGCATGCTGATTTCACTTTGTGGAAACCATCTGACCTCGCAGCATTAGAATTCGTTCACTTGATGGTAGATGGGTACATTTTTTTTAATCGCTGCTATTTGGTCATGACATATGTAATGCATCAAATGCCTTAGGAAAAGGGGCAATAACGTCTTTCCCCTTGATAAAATTCAACAAACATTCTTTTTGTTCCGGCTTTAAATCCTCGATCTCGGGAATCATTGCCAACACAGAATGTCTGTCTTCGTCTACATCCATCTCGACCACTTTGTTTACTGTTGTGCTGTACCACAGAAGGGACCCAGACAGACGCTTGAGTTTGACATCATGGCTTCACGGCTCTTCGCTGATTGGTCGGTGCGTGGTCTACAACTTTCGGGGTTCTTGCAAACCCTCTAGTGTACTCCGATTCCTGACCTAGTCGCGGGAGAGAGCCTGACTAGCATGTTGAAACATACACAGAGCTAAGTGTCACAGACTGTAAGACATTAAAGCGAATCATTCATAATGTTGCAATTGATGTAGGTCTGAGCCACCACATCTTTAACAAGGCTCGGAACATTTATTTTAGGCCTGGCCAAAACATCAAAATGTTAGGTATTTAAGTTCTGACAGGTTCATTAGGGTTTCGTGTTTGTAATATTTCAAGTTTACAAGATAAAAAAAATATGCTCAACCAAAAGTAAGACCATGTTTTACCATACAATGCACTGCAAAGTTTGCCCTCACCTGGTGGATGTCCCTGGTATGGGTCGCCCCGTGTCCACCAGCACACACCAGCAGTATCCTGTGGAGGGGTGACACTGCACTGGTTTGTACAGTCCTGCCTGAGCACAGTCTGGGACAAACACAGCGTCGTTTTTGTGCTGTCGAGCCTCCTCCTGTGCAGACTGCTGCTCCTGGTCACATGACGAGGCTGAAGGGTCAAAGGGCACGTGTTAAAAGATCATATACTTTTGGTTTTGGAAAAATATGAATCCTTTGTTGTGGCTTTTAAACACGCTGAATGTTTGGAAAAGCCAAGTGAAGTCAGGTTATGTCACTCATCAGTGCTAAATCTTATCTAAAGGAACAAATCTTAAAACATGGTGCAGGAAATAATGCATAGGCCCATGTATTTTACCGATTTTAGAATGCTTTAAATAGGACAGACAAAGAAACATTTTGTAATTTTGGGCATATACTGTTTTGTGCCATTGTCTACTCACAGTATGTTGTGGGTTGAGAGAGACAGCATAAAACAAATCACGGTGCTGATGCAATTATTGAAGTTCTAGTTCACTGTAATAGTACAAAGCTATATGGCATGATTAATATGAACCCAAATGGTTAAATGGTCATTTGAAAATTCCAAAATACTGTTGAATAACATATGAACAGTAGCACATTTATTTCGCACTTTTTGTGTATTTTGGTGTATTTCAAATTGTTAATAACATAACAACTTAATACTACTTTCTCCTTGAGCTCTTAAAAGCTGTTAACCTGCAAGTATCAGCACAAATAAACCATGCTGAGAGGTCATTTGGCTTCTGAAAACGTCCGTCCTCAAAACTAAATGTTTGAGAAACATGGTCGAGGTTTGCAGCGAACGGGAGCCAGTCACAGGATCTGTTTACACTGAGGTACTAGAGACATTTCAGCTTGGATCCAATAAGTACACAGTGCACAGGTCTGGCTGCATGTTTCATAGTTAATATAAATCCACAGTGAAGAGCAGGATGGTGGTAAGAATGGGACTCGGAGACATTGTGTAGACTGTTATATCAGCCCCCCTGGCACTGTTTATGAACATTAACAGGCTAATGACTGAGTACAGCTCCCAATGCCCCGAGTTAAGTAAATATTTGGAGTGCGCGCTGCCCTCTGTGGATGTGTGGGACAGAGCAGACAAGATGGAGGCATCCACAGTCACTCCATCACACTATATGTCTTAGTGTTAGGGGCTAACTAAGCAACAATGACCAATCAGTAAGGATTTAAGAGTGAAAGTGGAAAGACTTCAGACATACTCCCTGCATTAGGATGGACAAGGTCACACTTGATAAAGAAAGTCAGCCTAGTGTTCATAACGCTTTCGGCTATTTTAGTATCAAACTTAGAAAATGATGGGTATAATTTTATTAGTTTGGGAAAATGATTTGCAATTCTGTGTCTTTCTCCTTGAATATGCAATAAATGTAAGGGGCTGCACAATGGTCTAAGCACATCGGTTCTGTGTCTCTCTTCAATCTTCACCCCTATTTCCTGCTGCTTTCTTTAATCAAGTTTTCGTTTTTGTCATTTAAATCCACTGAATATCTTATTGTTTCACCAAGAATGTTCCATAGTATAGCATCAAAAGTATGTGTCTTTCGTAAGGATGTAACGATATCCAAATCTCTCTGGGCATGATATTGTCACGATATGCATTTCACGGTACGATATTTATTGCAATATTTTGGAGACCCTGATATAATTGTAGATAGGACATGTTTCTACTTTTAAAATACCATGACAAGATTTTGGTGTAAATTATTACCACCGTAATCCCAAGAATTCAAGTAAAAAACATATTCATTTGTGTTGTTTGCACTGAAATGAATTATGGGATATGTAGTTTCCTATGTTTAAAAGCTGTTGCTACTGTAAAGCAATGAATTAAGCAAAGAAACTTGTAATTCGATATATTGTGACAGTCCACGGTATTATTGTGAGACTTTCGACAACACTATATCACGATATTTCGATTGTTGTTACATATCTAGTCTTTCATTTATGCAGTTACCAGTGTTTGTACTACTAGAAAAATACCTTGAAAAAATACCTGAGTGAGGATGCCTCTCCAGCGATCTATTTTGTAACTTAACCTGGTGATGCTGGTCACTTGCTTATGACTAAACTGATGGATATGTTTAATGTCATACTGTGGAACATTCCAGGTAAAGCAATGAGATACCCAAAGAGAGAAACAGATGGCAAACGCTCCACCAGAAAAGTCAAAGTGAACCTTTTCTTTCTTTATATCTAACTTTTTTTAATTTTTATTTTAGGTATCACCATCGCTGTAGTGACAAGAGCAATTCAAATGACAGTAAATTGAAGTGAAGTGTCAGAACACAAATTTGAACAAGAGACTATTGTGTACAGTGCTGGAGACTCAGTGGGACAAAGATGTACTATAGTGATGCATCAGGCTTCAATCATAACTCTGTTCCTAATTTCCTCACCACTCTCCAGCAAGGATTCCATAATTGAACACAAATTTTCAACCATATGTTTATAAAAACATTTATCGGCAATTGCCACTCGCCCACCATAGACTTTCACTTTGGTTGTATTATGTTTTATTATGTTTTTGCACTGTTTACTTTCATTAAAAATCTCAAACCACATTAAAGAAGTCAAATGAGATGCCTATGCGCGCTCCGAACCAACTTTCTACACTCCACTTCCTCCGAATGCGCTGCCTTTGTTGCGGTTTGGGTTTTTTTTTACCCCAAAAGAGCAAATGGTAATAAGAACCATCAATGCTGCATATTTCTGGCTTTTTTATTGGTTGTAAATTATGATAATGGGATTCACACACCACTGCACACATGCACACAGGCCTCTAATCTTAAAGCGGCATGTTCAAATTGTCATATTGAAGCAAAAGGCAAAGACCATTGGAGCACAAAGGCTTAAGAGAGAATAGGAAATCCACTGTTTTGGACATGTGCTGATAATTACAGATGCAAGAAACCGCAAAGAAGTAGGTTTAGAGACTGACACACTTTGACACACTGAGCTGTTGGTTTGGAGCGGCCACATGTCCCCAGAAGACAGGAAAACCCAAACCATTATGGCTAACACACGTGGGAAAATACAGCGAGCTTTACAATCTAGTTTTAGTAAATAGACAGTCAGTATTTATGAAGAAGTTCAGAGGGAGAGGCAATGAAAGGGCACAAGTTTAGAAGTATAAATCACTACAAATGAAATAAATGTACAAGCCATTATTATAAGCCATATTGGACAAGATGCAAGAAATGGAGGGAGAGAGGATAGAGACATTCAGTGTGGTCATGGTCGAGAGGCGAACCAACAACACCAATGTGGGAACAACTATATAGGTGCAACATCTTAAACCACTACACTTTGGATTTTAAAAGTTTACACCACCTGATTGTCTCCATGGAGATGTTATTGCTTTGCCTGGAATGTTCCAAAGTATGACAGTAAACATCTTCATGGAGACAAGCAGGGCAAACCACCAGATGATAACTTTAATTATTTCTTACTTCAGTATAAGGCTGCTCGATTGTGGATGAAATTATTATCACGATTATTTTGGTCAATATTGAAATCACGATTATTTAAATGATTATTTTTTAGTTACACAATGCATTTATTCAGCATTTCTCTCTCTCTCTCAAAAAAAATAAAAATAAAAAATAAATAAATAAATAAAAAAATTGAACAATTTTAAACAAATATAGGCTACAAATATGAACCTAAATAAAACATATATACTGCTCTTCTACAATCTCTATATTTAAATAAATAAATACAAAATAAATAAATGAAATAAATATGCTTATTTATATATATAAAAAAAAAATCCCAAAATAAACTTTGTTAAGCTTTAAATTGTTTCAAAATTCATTTAATTGCACAGCCTTACTTCAGTATATTAAGTTATTAAGTGTATTGTGATCAAATTAAACCATACCTAAAGCTCTATAAGAACATTTCCGATAACAGGTTGTGGGTAAATGAGCCTATACCAGTAAACTATCCATGGGTTTCAGAATGATGAATAATTGTGACCGAATTACTATAACTAATAAATATACTATTTTGAATAACAGGCAGCTGAAACCCACGAATACATACCCAGCTGTAGAGGAGTCGCACTAGCACCATATTAAAATAATGACATCTTAATTAGCCTTAATAAAGCAGGAGCAAAGACTGAATTCATGACAAACAAATATTAATGTATTAGTGTATTAAGAATGATTCAGGAACTACTAAATTAATGTTAGTGTTTGGAGTTATGACTATGGTTTAAATAAGCAGTTACTAAGCCTGAATCATTCTTAAATATTTGTTCATCAGATATTATTGAAGTAAATGTCGACTTTCAAGGATGAAAAAAAAACTGTACATAGGTTTTCTCAAGCGGCTGTAGTCAAAGAAATAAAAATAAAAAAATGGCAAAGACAGAATGGGAGGAAGGAGGATATTTGGATGATCCTGTCTTAAATGTTAAAGTGTGTGATCTGTGTTATTCTGAAGTGTTACCATCACATTTAAACTCACATGGTGCTCTGGTCCTGTTGTTCTGCCGGCTGCGGACCTGCTCCGTCCAGAGTGTGGGGTACTGAGAAGTGATGTCTGAAAGAAATCAGAGGAACACTTTTATGAGCTCCAAATCAAAAACACGCTCAAATGTCATCGAAAATCCAAATGTCCCAAACTCTCCCACTGTAAAACACATCAAAGTGCATCTATAACTGCTGCGAGTTCATGTGGAATAAAAGCGTGGCCAGCTGAGACGGTGGTGAACTGTTATCAAATAAACACATTCAAATTAATAGAGAAAGCCACTTATTTCACAACACATGATATTATTGGTGTTGTATCTGTTTATGTGGAACAGGATACACTGGAATGGCCCTAACTGTGAGAAAGTGGCTGTCAGTCATTGGATTTTGGAATATGGAAACAGAAATAAAAACTGATTATGAAAATGCTAAACAAGTAATGAAAATATAATGGAGGTTTTATAGACTCCAGTTCTCAACCAAGCAATAATAAATGCATATAAATAAATACAGGATAGAGTACTAAATAGTAAAACCATGAGGCAGCCAACTTCCAATTCATATATATTATTACGTATGCCTTGTCGGCTTAAAGTTATCAGATATTTTTAAGTAAATGTCAACTTTCAACGATAAGAAATGAGACTGCACACATAGGTTATCTCACTCTTAGCGATCACAAATCATCATAGTTTTAAAAATAAATACGACATACTTTGACTAACAATTTATTTTTCAATGACAGCGATAAATCAGATTGTATTTAGGGAATAAGTGAGGGGGCACAGCCTTAAATGGCCTGGTATGACTGGCTTACAGTGATGGAGGATGTGAGCCTGCTTTAGATAAATGTTATTACTATAATTCTGTTTGCAGACCTCAGCAGATACCTCACTTGTTTTAAGTAGGATGTGGATAGTTAGTGTCAAATGCAGTGGAGTCATTGTGTCCCTGGCAGTACTTACCAGCAGGGATTATTGGGTTATAAATGGCTAGCTACAAATTTAAATGAATATCTGTTATTTCTTAAGTATTTCTTACATAGTTTGGACTAGTTTAACTTAATTATTTATTGAAATTGGCCAGCTTATTTAACTTAATGTGTCATGACTAGGGATGTAACAATATCCAAAATATCGTGATATTGTATCGTCAAAGTTCTCAAAATTATATCGTAGACCATCACAATATATCGAATTACAAGTGTCTTCACTTAAATTAAGAGTTATGGAGCAACAATAGCTAAAAAAAGACAGGGGGAACTACATAGACCATGATCCTTTGCTCCATTTCAGTGTACTACAAGAAGAAATAACAGTTCTAAGCACTTTTAAGTCTTAGTTCTTTGGATTACATCTTGTCAAGGCATTTTAAGAGGAAAAAGTAGCGTATCAGCCTCCACAAAATATCACAATAAATATCGTACTGTGAGCTGTATATTGTGAAAATATCGTACAGAGAGATTTGGTATTGTTACATCCCTATTCATGAGCCTCCCCACCGAATCATGAGCTTTCCCACGATATCGCAATAAATATCGAACCACGAGATTCATACCGTGACGATATCGTATCGTGAGATTTGGATATGGTTACACCCCTAGTCATGACATTTCTCACTGGAATTTAAAAGCACACTATTCTTTTCTGAAGGAGGGTCCACCACATGCTTGTTTCCATGGAAATGTGGCTGGAATGTTCCACAGTATGGCATTAAACTTTCCAGTGGAGACAAGCAAGTGACGTCACCACCAGGGCAAATTACAAATCTAAGAAAAGGTGAAATGTGTTACTTTTCGCAACAAAAAACAAATAAATGCACGATAGATAAACCAGTTGTATTCCAAGATCTCAAAATATATAACGAAGCCAAGTGCAATTACATTTTTGCAAAAAATTCTACAAATTAAACCAGTTAAATTTAAAAAACAGTATAAAACTCACCTTCTTCATCTGTGGAGGGCTGAGGATCCACGACTAGGCCAGTCTCATCTGCATTTAGAATGGAGAATATTTGCAAGGAGACTACAATTACCAGAGTAAGCTAGATTACAGACACTTGACTATGTTTGATTTGCACATTTGCCCGGCCAAGAGGAAAACAAAGAAAAAAGAGAGGAGAGAGAAGGGAATCAGCAGAAGTAGTGGTCATATATTCCAGTGGTTTCCTGTCACGCAACAATCCCATGTTATGCTGGAGACAGATTGAGGTCATATGAAAAGAATTGAGATGATGAGCCGTTGCTGGTGCTCCTCTGAGCCCTCTAATACCTGTGAAAAGTACGTTAAAACATACAGACATTGATCTACAGGCTGGATGTATTGATCACGTGGTTGGCTGGCAAGGAAGGCTTAGTTTTAGAAAATGTGGAACAATTCCAATCCTTCAGGAAAGTAAACATAATAAGTAAAGATAATGTTATTTTAAAATGTTCCAGCTCAGTTTTACTACTTGACCACAATGCAGCACCTCCCCAACTCACAGAACAAAACATTTTGATAACAAATAGTGTATTACGAAATCATATTCTTAGTTTGAGTCCTGATGTACACTTGGTTTGGTCCTTTGGGTCTAGTCTAGTTTCAGTTCCAGGTTTAATCCAAGTAAAAACAGATAGTTAGAAAACAAAAAGTAGGGGTAATTCAAAGGGAAATTCATTCTCTGCATTTGACCCATCCTTCAACAAGTGTCTCTGGGGCAACCTGCTGTACAGTAGCCTGATTCATCAGCCGGTTTCAATTTGTGGAAACCGTCTGACCTCGCAGTGTTAGAATTCATTCAATTAATGGTAGGCGGGTACTTTTTTTATTTAACCATTCGCTGCTATTTGGTCGTGACGTATGTAATTGTGTAATTTTTCTGGTGGAGGGTCCGTCAGATGCTTTTCTCAGTGGAGATGTTATTGCTTTGTCTGGGATGTTTCACAGTATGGCATTAAACATTTCTATATTCATGGAGACCAAACCAGACCAAGTTACAGGTCAGATTTGTGGAGAGGCAACCTTGTTCACAGTCAAAATGCCTGTTTGTCTAGGTATGTTTGAGCTATAATACCACCTGTAATTTAATAAATGTAAGGCAGAGCTGTTTAATGCCATACTGTGGTACATTCCAGAGCAGAGCAATGACAAATCCATAGAAACAAACAGGTGGCGGATCCATAACCAAAAAGTTGCACAGTGCTCCTTTAAGTATAAATAGAGAAAAATATGTGAAATGGAATTATTTAAGTGTAATATTAGACTCTAATATTCAAGTAAAGGTAAAAAACAATGTCTATTTCTTTTCTATCATTTTCTGTAGTGTTTATATCTTCAAAACTTGACTATATATTGACCATTTTAAAAGAATTCAAAAGTTCCCCACTGATTTTTTTTATTGGTTCTAATCACTACATTACTTATTAGTTATTATGAGGCTAAATATTTTAAAACATTGCATTCACTTTTACACAAAGCATCATCTACTAGTATTGGGTAACGCTTTCGTATGTGTAGATGTCGTCAAGACGCAGCAGTCTGGAGTCCGGCGCGTTCACTGGAAATGCCATCTGAGAGAGCGTATTTATGAGTGGGATTTATGATGGACCACTAATGACCCATCTTTACTGTGCGGCCGTTTACATGACTCTAACACCTCTTTTAGCATCTGCCAGGAAACCCCCGCCTTATTTGTGGTCAGAGCTTTTCGTTTTACTGCGCTGTGTCCGTCGTCGCAGAGAAGGGCTCCAGCACGCAAATGCATTTGTCAAAGAAAGGGCCAAAAATCGACTGAGGGTAAGAGAGGTGATTTCAAATGTTTAACACCTAAGAATATATGAGTAAACTATGACTAAGCCGGGGCAAAGAGGAGTAATCTAAGTCTGAACTAATAAACAAAGGCTTAAGTAGAAGTAAACCAGATGGACAAAAGAATGGATAAAAATTTAAAAGGAAAAAATTTTACTTTTGTGAAAGCCAGAATGAGTCTACAAAGTACTACAGCAAGCCTAAAAAGTAGTTAAACCCAATCTACACTCAAACTTATTCCAAAAAGTGTCCAAGGTTTGTCATATTTTATTAACATCGACTCCATAAACTCGCATGTGTCACTGAGTATAGGACAGATTGGAAACTGAAGCAGTGAGCAAAGTCTGGACTCGAAAATACAGCAAAATAAGTTATCCTCCTGAGCAGGGCTTATGAAGTTAGCCATGTTTGTGGAACAGGCCTCAGGTCTAAACAAAGACAGACAGAAAAACCCTGGGTGAGTTTCCCCAGTGTCCACACCCCCTTAAAGAGGACATACTGTGTTTTTGTCTGACATGTAGTTACACAGCATAATACATGATGTTGTATTTTGGATTTTAAATTGCAATATTGATCTAAAATGACTTAATAAAAGACACAAGTTCTCTGGTTTCTGGGTTGGAAAATTCCTCCTTTCCTTCCTTTAAGTTACATAGTTGTAAACGTCATCACAACAAGGTGCTGCGGAGTCAGACCATGCTGTTGGCCTCTCCTATGCATAGTTGTAGATCATGCTAGAAAACAGCAGAATTTGTGCTAAAATGACTATTCAACACTGCAGAATTCTATGTGTATCTGATTAAGAAAATAAAACTGGAGTACAGAGCAGTGGGAGTGTACTGGTGGTGAAAACACAAGCAGATCTGAGCAATGACGTCTTAAATGCAGTATAAAGTTTACTCAAACATGCACAAATCACTCTAAATACAACTTTAAGTGGGTAGATGCGAAGGGGAAACAATGATTAAAAGATTAAAATCTCTAAAAAGTTCATTTTGCACAACATGTCTCCTTTAAAGAAGCAAATTAAAAGCTAATTAGACAGTCCTGGCCATCAAACCAAGATCAAGTTGTGAAGCATCACTGGACACATCTCTGTGGTTACACCCTGCACCTGACAGTTTGCTCAAGCTGCACTCAAGGATGCTTAAAATTTCCCAGTCTTAAACCTTATACTGACACTACAACAGGTCTTCACTAATGATTTTTAAACCCAGTTAAAAACAACACAAACCCAGGTCAGAACCAGAACCTGTCCAGACTTGAACCAGTGCCTCTGAGGCTCTGGTCGTCAGTAAAGCTGACTCAAAACTCCAGTGTAATCAGGGCTGTTCTGAGAGCTGGCACACCACAAATCTACAGTTTACTCTGCCTTTCACCACGCTGTTTATCCAACAGTTCACAGGCAACCACAGACCCTCCCTCCCCCTCTGCCTCCCCCTCCCTCCATCTCTGCATGTGATTTTATATTCCCACTTGATCTATGTGTAATGACTTGGCTGGGATTTCACTGTCAATATACCCCGTTCTGTTTACAGAGCAGAGGCACATGTATAGTCAATGTCATTGGAATAACTGCTTAGCAAACATGCAAAAGAACTTTCACTTTCTATAGAAATTAAATATGTTTACTCAAACAAACTATTTCTCTGAAAATCGTCATCCAAAATTTGCATATTTCTTCTGCGTATTTATAAATCTACCTGATCTGAGAGAACGTTATTATAATCAAAATTCTAATTCTAAATTCAAATATTAAAAAAACAAAATAAATTTTTAAACAAACAACACTTTTTATATAGTTTATTAAAATATACTGTACTACTACACTTCTAGACTATACAAAATCTAATCATACAACACATTTAAAGTCGATATTAATTTTGTTTATGTGTATATATATATATATATATATATATATATATATATATATATATATATATATATAATCTAATTTGAATTAAAACGCCAAACTTGAAAAAGTAAAATTGAAAATGTTGATGCTCAGAGCTGGGGACACATCAAAATGTGTGTTTAGAAGGCAAGCGTCAGCCAAGTTCGACTACTACATGCGCAAATCTGATGTAAATATATGGCCTTAAACTTCTCTGGATGCATGAAAAGCAAATAAACAAAGTAGTCCCAGGCTCTGCTGTCACACCAGGAGGGTAAACAGTGAGGTCAGTGAGGTTTCTGCTCACTGCTCCATTCATTTACTGGGCTACGGGCTGCTATAGACTCAGGGAAACTGGAGTCATATATACGTATCATTTACTGTAAATTCTCATGGTTGTCTGTCTGCCAAAGTTGGTCTGAGAATTCAAAATATGTTTCATGTTTAGCAGTTTTAGGGGTTGCCACAAATAATGTCTCCTTTTTAAATGGTCAGTTCATTTAGTCTGGCCCTTTTCTCCTAGATATCAAACTGTAGCTTTGTCTTTGTCACTTTCCCACACGGCACATCAACACCAGGATTAAACTGGGATTAAATCTGGAATTGAATCAAAATTTTACCAGGATTAAACCAGAGCTAAACCAAAATCAGACCAGGATTAGACCAGGACTAGACCAGGACTGAATCTGGACTAAACCAAGACTACAACAGGACTAAACCAGGACTAGATCAGGACTAGAAGAGCACTAAGTAAGGACTAAACCAGGATTAAACCAAGACTAATTTAGGATGACACTAGAGCTAAACCAGGACCAGAACTAGAAGAGGATTAAACTAGGACTAGATCAAGACTAAATCTGGACTAAACCAAGACTAGACAAGGGCTAAACCAGGTCTAGAAGACTACTAAGCAAGGATTAGACCAGGACTAAACCAAGTCTAAACCAAGAGTAATTCAGGACTACACTAGAGCTAAACCAGGACCAGACCTAGAAGAGGATTAAACTAGATCAGGACTAAATCTGGACTAAACCAGGACTACAACAGCACTAAACCAGAAATAGACCAGGACTAAACCAGGACTAGAAGAGTACTAAGCAAGGACTAAACCAGGAGTAAACCAAGACTAATACAGGATTACACTAGAGCTAAACCAGGATCAGAACTAGAGGAGAGGATTAAACAAGGACTAGATCAGAACAAGAAGAGGACTAAACAAGGATTAGATGAGGACTAAAACAGGACTAAAGTTATAGGAGTATAGACCAGAGCTGAACCATGACTAGACAAGGATTAGAACAGGACCAAACCGAGTCTACATCCCACCAAAAATTACGCCAAACCAGCACCACAGCAGAACAAGTCAATTCAAGTCCATTTCTGATTATATTTTTATTGCTGTAAATTCTATCTATAGCTGTAATTTTCATTTGATTTCATAACTTGCCTGATTGCAATAAATAGAAGAATGACAAAAGGGTGGGAAGTCAGGAGGTAGTAAAAGAAACAAGAATAAAACAGGTCAAGACAGGTCAACCAGCTCAGAATTGTGGGAAACCAAGGAGACAATTTCTTTACAAAACAGTGTCTCAGATATGTATGCAAACAAGTCAGATACAAATGTTTTTCTGTTTTAGAAGCAGATTTATAGTCAAATATCAAATTGATACTAAATAAATCATTCAAGACTCAATACCGATACCACAATGAGGATACAAAGAAATAGAAATAGAATGAATATACAAAATAATAGTACTTTCTTTATCTTATCTTGTTCTGATAAAGCTCAAAATCACTCTAACACTGTTCAGGAAAGCACACATATTGTCCTGTTTTTTGCAGTATTAGTTCTAGTATTGATTAGTATCTGATTTGACAACCCTCATTTATAGTAGTAGTAGTAGTAGTAGTAGTAGTAGTAGTAGTAGTATTTGAACACTGCATTTTCAGGAGGCTACAATAGTAACTGCATTGCACATGAGAAAAAGACCAAGAGGAAAATCAGGCCTGAAATAAAATCACTTTTCTGGTTAAGTCTTAACACAAGCCGTGTCAGTTTTTTGCAGTATTAGTTCTAGTATTGATTAGTATCTGATTTGCAATACTTTTCACATCCCTCATTTATAGTAGTAGAAGTAGTAGTAGTAGTATTTGAACACTATATTTTCAGGAGGCTACAAGAGTAACTGTGACATATGAAAAAGACCAAGAGGAAAATCAGACCTGAAATAAAATCACTTTTCTGGTTAAGTCTTAACACAAGCCGTGTCAATTTTTCACTGGTTTGGACAAGAGTTAAATCAAGGTCAAGTTTAAGAGTGGTTATTTGATTTCTTTGGCCTGTCGCTGGAAAAAAAGAGGTGTGAGTTACAAAAGAATATGGTGGATCCATTTTGGCAGCTGCTGGTAAAACAACACACAGACCACAGCTCTTCTCCTGCTAGTTTTATACGAGCCTCGGGGCTGCTTACACTGTTCAGATTGACAAAATATTAGAGACATGCCTTAACAAGTGACAGACAGAGAGCACATCATAGACCCAGTGCATGCAAACACACTGCAAAAATCTGAGTTAAAATGACTTGAATTCTAAACACTGTATCAATCTTAATTGGAGTAGTTTTGACAAGTTTATTTTGACTTAATGGACTAAATATTTGATTTGTTTCAGTGTGTTTATAACTTCTTTCAAATCACTGCTGATTTAATTTCCAGCTAAACTATTGGTCAGTGGGGTATTGGCCTATTTAGTCCCATTTTTCCACTCTGAAGTTGAACCATGATAGAGTAACAACAGTCAGAAAGTGCGTATACTTAAAGATGCACAGTGTGACTTAAACTTTCAAGTATAAAATTTTGTCTCCCTGAACATTTTCCACATGGCATTCAGTCTATGTATAGAGCTTTTATTTTATTACAGTGTTTTTAGGACTCGAAAAGACCCTAAAAACAGACAGTTACTGTGTGACTGTGAATCTACCTTGGCCTGGTTGTCTCTAAGGAGATATATAGGTCTAATGCCATACTGTGGAATCTTCAAGGCACAAAAATAATACTTCACTGGTGATAAGAGGGAGAAATACCCATGAGTAGAGGAAGTTACACAGTGTGCCATTAATTTATGTAGTTCAAAAAGCAATATTAGATCTGAAAATCCAAAAAATACTCAAATCCAGATTAAGTAATTTGAACTCATGTTGGATAATATTTTTGCAGTGCACATGTTACATGTAAGGACAGCACTGCACCTGTGGCCTGTATCACTACACAGTCTGCACAGAGTCTTATGTCGATGTGTTTTATTCATTAAATTCTCACCTGCTTTGCCCGGCTCTCTCGTGGTCGCCCTCTCCTGCTTTGATCCTGAAAAGCCGTGAAAACATTATCACCACGTTTTTATTGCCTGCCGTTATAAAACAGATTATAAATAGCTGCCATCTGTTACTATAATTATTATTAACCCCATTTCAAGTCCAAGTCCAGGAATCAAAGGTATCGCGGCAAGCTAATTGAAAAGGAACAGCAAAAATGAAGTAATGCTCATAACTACGGTGAGGTAATAAGGCAGAAGTTAAATGGTCCATGACCGAAGGTGCAGGTGAAATCACTATGTACAAATCTATGTTTTAGATACAGAAGTAGTGAATGTTAGTTCACTTTGTCTGTTTCAGAATAGGGAAAATGGCTAACCAAATAATATATTTGTAAAGTATTTGATTAGTTAGTCATTTATAATATTGGCACACACAGAAAGTAAAAGATTGGAGCCTGGCTTCCCATAATGAGGCTTGGTCACATTCAAGCCAAGGTGGGTAAGAGTTGGTAGGGCAAAGAATAAAAACAGCCAAAATAATATAATAATTTGTTTTTTGTTACAATAAACAGTAGAGCAGAATGACGCAATACTGGTTTAGCAAGTCAACAAGTTTGGGGCAGTATTAATTCTTGCTCCTCAGACCAGTACTTTAAGATTGATAATGGCTTCCGGATGACAGCCAAAATGTCGAGACACCTTAGCCTTTGAAAGAATGTCTGAGTTATTTTGTAAAATAAATAAATACATACATTTCACTTCTTCTGACAAGTATTATGACTGTGATAGATAGAGCTATGACATGTTTTAGAAGTAGCATTCTTCAGGCTCCACATTGTAAACAATACCTTGAGAGAGAATATGAACTCAAAAGGATCCTATTCTTTTTAGAACAAATTTGACTTTTCCATGTAAATATATATTGTTCTTTGCAGAGGACAATCTAAACAATTGTCATTCTATATGCAAACTTTGAAAGGCAAACTAAAATTGCAATTGTGTTGATTGATTGTAATATATTGTGCAGCCATATTTGAAACATTTCCTTTACAATGTAATGTTACTGTCTTGTTCAATATGCCTCTGCCGACTGCTATAACACACAGAAAAGGTTTGGATTTTGGTTTGGTCATTTACACAAACTTGCCCCATTGTCCCGGTAGCCCCCAGGAGCGACTCTGTGGGGGACATGTGGCACTGATTTGATTGTTTTTCAGACGCCGTCCTCCAGAACATTCCCCACAGTTTAACTTTGTTTCTCAACTCTTCGGTAGGGATTTTCTGCTTGGTGTATTTACACCAAAAGCCCACGATTTGAGCTCTCCTACAGAGTCAGCCGAGTCTCTGACCACTCTCCCAAAGACTACCAAGACCGAATGACATGGTTTGTTTACCTGGCAATATTTGATAAACTTTTTGCATACAAGGGATGTATTTGAAAGATGGATTGAAAGAAAGTTTTGGGAAATTTTGTGGTTTTATCAACATTTGAACAATGATGCAATGTCACAGGAAATAAACAACACAAGCTGTATCAATGGTGGACAAAGCGTAACCTAGCAAAAATAGGCCCAACAAACAGGTACACACTGGACAAATTAGTTGATGGTTAGTTATTAAAGATCCTATATTATGCAAAATTGACTCTTCTGAGCATTAAGCCATGTTAGAATGTTGTTACCTCTTCAAAAACATACATGGAGTTCTTTGTTGTTTGAGTAACCCTGAATTATTAGTCTGTCAACATCTCCAAAGCTCAAAATGCTCTGTTCCACCTTCTGATGTCATGAAGTCGCAGTGTTCAAACTACCATTTACCTTTAGTTTAGGAGAAATTGGCAATTCCAGGGTTGAAATGATCCAAATCTTCCGGTATTACCACTTGACATCACAATGTGGAACAGAGTGTTCTATTCTGTTTGAGAGAAGAACTCAAGTCTAAATATACAGGGTTTGTTTGTGTGTTAAACATGTGTGAATGAAACAAAACACATCTCCAAGTATATTTGTGATGAGGAAACATTATAACATAGATGAGAAAATAGTGGAACATGGGCCCTTTAAGACATCTCTATATTTAATAAGGCAAATTAAATGATCAATTTCACTTATTATTAGTGCAGTTATCTTGAAACTTAATCTATTAACTAACTCCTTAAAAGGAGGTGGGGTGTTAACCACTCTGCCAACATACAATACAGCAGTTATGAGTAAACAAATTGGTTTTATTTAGTTGTCCAGATCCAAAGTTAGTTCTTGCTTTTTATTTTAAAAGATATTATATTTATCTTTTATGCTATAAATGACTGTATACATTACTATAAATACATTTTGTATAATTATTATTGCAAACTTTTCGTACCTTGACATCTGGGTTTCTTATTGGCCACAGCTGAGCCACTGATCGGTCGACCGTTAGGAGTCACACACCAGCAGTATCCAGTGTAGCTGTGGCACTGAACCTGACAATGCATAAGTCACAAATGGTAATAAATAATTAGTGAAGTTAAATATTTTTATATTCATTGATAAATAGACCTGAATTTATAATTGCTTTCAGATGTTATGTGTTTTAGAGGCTTGTCAAAGCTTCTCAAAGCTCTACACTGTCGTCATTATTCATTCAGCCCACACTTGGAGGTGATTAGCTACTTCTGAAACTACAGCTGCCCTGAGGCAGACAGACTGAAGCAAGGCTGCCAGTCTGTACCATCACCTCTATTGCTGCCACCAGCATTATATACAACATTCATACTAGGCTAGATGGGTGAAGTGTCTTGCCTAAGGACCCAACATCTTAGTTTGAGTGAGAATCAATCCTCTGACCTTCAGGTTCTTGTGAGTTCTAACCACTGTGCCACTGTCGAAGGTTTTACTTATACTGTTTTGACATGTTTTATGAAGATGATTTGACTTATCTCATTATTTATCTTATTTCATATTTGCACTGATCAATTTTCAGCTTTATTTCATTTTATTTTATTTTATTTTTTATTATTATTTTTTTTAACTCAAAACAAATATAATACAATTTTCTTTCAAGCAGCTGGGGTAAGAATTATTAAAAACACTGAAACCATAATTTCCTTTGTGTTATTGAAAACACATATTCTTGTTTAATGTGTGATGTTACCTCACTGTATGTGCCATCAGGGTTGCACACAGGCACAAAGACTTGGGGGAACATCTTCTTGGCCTGCTGTTCAGTGTACTTCTTCTCTGCCACACATCTGGACGTATCTGAGGAACACCACAAATCACAACAGTCACCAAACAAACCCATGAGTCAACCCGGGGCTCTGTATTTCCCCATCCCAAACATAACAAACACAACTGTGATAAAGCCGTATCCCGCTCCCCGATGATGGACAATGAGCTAAAATAGACAAAGGAAGGAGGAGAGCAGGGAGGAAACTATTCAAGACGTCTCGGAAGCAGGAGATCAGTTAGTGGCTGGGAATTGAACCAACACCCACGGCTCTATTAGAAAGCCTTGCTCGCTGCCTGGTGGTAAAGACATTATGGAAGGAGCCAGGCTTTGTAGCTCCTGTTCATTCCAGTGAAAAGGGCTGATGCGAAAGGAAAAGCGGACCTGCTCCTAATGTGTCCACGTCTCACTGAAGAAACCTTGACCGTCTGCAATATTATTTAATTTTTTTCAAGCGTTGGATTAGTATTGTTTAACCTTGCTCAGATCAATTTATAATCCATATTTTAGACTTGACCATGTATTATACAATATTAGCACTGGACTTTTGGCTTTGTGGTTGAGGGTTGTAACCATAGACTAAACATAAAGGGAAATAGAAAACCCGTAGTTCCAAATAGGAAGTGTTCATGGACATGCTTCCAGCTCCATCAACTCTGACTTCTATTGACTTAACATTGAAAAATTGTCACCCCTCTTTCTGTAACTGCTGCAGTGAGCCTCGCCATTTTGGTTTTAAAATAAAAATTAACCTGCTCTACATGATTCTTATTGCTAATATGGAACTGGCTCCAATTTTGCTCCTGTAACTCCGAGCATCATGAGCTTCATTTCACTGGAGTCGAAAGTTATGGGTGACATCACACTCCCTTAGTCCACTTCTTTATACAGTCTATGGTTGTAACAGATAATCGTCAGATTTTCTGTCAGGGTGCAGAATTGACTCGGTAGCAAAAGTTAAAACTGTCAGATTCAAGTAATCCATGTTTATAAGTGGACCTGTGTGTAAGGGCTGTGCAATTGATCAGATTTTACAGCATGTTTTAAAGTAAATTGCACTGAACAATTAAAGAAAAGAAAAAATAAGATTCAGTGTCATAATTATGTTTTTCATAATAAAACAATGATTGAATAAAAAACTGATTGATCCAATGTCAGAAAAAAAAAAAGTTTCTATATGGGCACTGGTACCGTAGCCAGACTGGCACCACCTAGTGCCTCCGCTCAGTTTCATTTCTCTCCAGCGACTAGGTCAGGAATCAGAATACACTAGACGGTTCACAAAAACCCCGGAAATGCAAATTCGGGCACCAGCCAATTAGCGAAGAGCCATACATTCTGTGTTGGCAACGATTCCTGAGATCGAGGATTTAAAGCCGGAATAAAGAGAATGTTTGGTGAAAGGGGAAAGACGTTATTGCCCTTCTACCTACGGGATTTGGGAAAAGCTTAATATACCAGTTCGCCTTGTTAGCGGGGCATTACATACGTCACGACCAAATAGAAGCGATTCATTAAATGAAAAAAAGTACCCGCCTACGCTGAGCAAACGAATCCTAAAGCTCTGAGGTCAGACAGTTTCTACAAAATGAAACCGGCTGAATCAAGATACTTGTACAGACCCACAGAACGCAGACTTTGAGCGTCTGGTAAAGCACTATATAAGACTAATACATTATTATTATAAACATTAAAACATATAGATTAACTATACTGAATACTGTTTCAAGAATTAAAATAAATAAATATAACTGTATTCATAGTAAAGTAGACTTGGTCCTAGCTTTACTTAGCAGCTCCTTGAGAGCCATAATCCAAGTCCAGTCCAAGCTGTATTTTATTATCAGGGGAAGGAGAGAATAATTAGTTATAACATTTGAAATTGCTTCGTCCTTGCCTAAACCTGGGTCAGTATTTCACCTGCGTGCATTTGACATTTTTTCACAAGTTTCTGCCAGAGCAATGCATCATGTGTCATTCCTGAGCTGCCTGTTCTCACCTGGAGCAGCAGCTGTGCAAACCTGCAGGACACAGCTCTCACAGCGCCTCAAACTAACCACTCACTCCAGGGCTCACTTTCTCTGCTTAAAGGTACACTGTGGAACTTTTTGGTGTCGGGTCCGTCACATGCTTGTTTCTATGGATATGTCATTGCTCTGCCTGGAACGCTCCACAGTATGACATTTCATGCTCTAATTTATATTTATTAAATTACAGGTGATTTTATAGATCAAAAATCATTAGAAAACAGGCATTCTGACTGTGAGCAAGTTTGCTTCTCCACAGATCTAACTTGTAACTTGGTGTGGTTTGGTCTCCATGAAGATATTATGAAATATTCTGGACAAAGTAATAACATCTCCATGGAGAAAAACATTTGACATGTAAAGTAGGCTTCATATTTGATTTCAGAACATCGAAGGCAGTCTGTGTTTTCTGTCTTTATCTAAGAAAAAGCTACACATTTTAACCCAAAAGGCAGAGCAAGTTTCTCTTTTAAATAACAATAAAGCATTAAAATATTGTGTGTTATTATTCATTCACTCCACACCTGATGATTTTACGACAACTACTGAAACTGCCAATCTGCATCATCATGAGCAAGGTGTTTGAAGGGTCTTGCCTAAGGACACAGCAACAGTTTGGACTAGAGCCTCTGCTGCCACATTGCAAGGTGACGTCAACATCATAAAAAGGGAAAAATAAATAAATAAAACTCTATTCACTGCTAAAATAGATGCTAAAATGGCCCTAGCTTTACTCAGTAGCTCCTTGAAAGTCATAACCCATGTCCAATCCAGCTTGTATTTTTATTGTCAGAGGTATAGGAGAATAATTAGTTATAACATTTGAAAAGTAAAGTGAAGTGTCTTGCCTAAGGACACAACAACAGTTTGGACATCAACATCATAAAAAAGGAAAAATATAAATAGTGGACTGAAAAACAATGCAGATTTCTGTCGAACCAATCAGTGAAGCAGTTTGATTTAGTTCTAAATAATACAAGACCTATGAGCTCCTCTGTTTTCTCAAGTCATTTTAAAAACTAACCTTGATATTCATTTCTCAACATAAGTTTTAAAACACTCCAGTGGCCTGGCATTGGCTGCACTGCACTGTCCCATTAGACACATTAGACAGTGGCCCTGGTTTGGCTCACTCTGGGCGTGTGTGTGCGTCGCTGTCGTGAAGGAGCAGAGGGGCACACACTTATTCCCACCGGACTGAAATATCTAAAGTTAGCTTCAGTGGAAAAACCCAAAAAACCAAAGAGTTTCTCCAAGGGGTTCAACCGTCTGGAAAAAATGACAAGACATTTTGAATCATCGTTGCGCGGTGATAGAAAACAAATGTGGTGCCAGTTATACCAACCTTAAAACAAAAGATGTGCGATGTGTATAAGAGACAGTTATAATTTATAGTTACGGATATTTTCTTGGATCTGGTATTGTTTTGTTAGGCTTCTCCTTGCTCCAGTGCAGATATATTGTACAGGCAGCTCTTGAGGTCAAAATTTGTCTGCTGTGTTCTGTCTGCATCTAATAAGCACTGTATTGTTTGATAATCAGGAAGTGTACATTAGTATGATAGTTGATGTTAGCGTTACTGTCCCTGCAAAACCTGTTCTGGTTTCTGAGAGTTGTGAAAAGTGATTATAAACTCATTGCAGTGAGTAATTAGGATGCTCAGAACGTATAATTTAAGTGAGGAATAACTTTGGATCAATGCAAATCTTTAAAATGAACTTGTTTTCTTTTTGTTTTTCACATTTTGAAGACAGTAAAAATCAGATACAGTGCCTTTAAGATTATAAATGGGTCTAAATCTGGACTCTTTGGTGGCTAATCCATGAGTGTAGTTTATGTCTCGTGCACTGACGAAGTACCCTTGTCATTCAGTTTACTCAGACAGTCAGCTAACCTCAGTCTATGGGCCCATTATGTCACTGAAACTGACCAGTAATTATCCAATGGGAGGCTCACATTTTACCTCTTTGCTCAGTTAAATCCTGGTGGAGACTTGACCAGGCACAAGTGTATGAAGCTAAACCGCCCACTGCCCGCTTCCCAAACTACATTTCTCATGAATTCTTCCCAAAGACTTTCAGAATAAAAATAATATTTAAAGTTTGTCTGGTAACAAATGACCACATAATGACCAACATGACCACACCTATAATTTTATTTACCGGTAAAATCTGTTTCTGAAATGTTATAAACTGCCAAATCATTTTGTTGCATTTTAAATGTGCTTTTTGGTCTTAAAACAACCGTGTTATGGATATTTGTCACCTCGTAACTGCACCTCGTGATGTTGTTGAACTTTTAATATTTAAATTTTTAAGAAAGTCAAGGTGAAAAATGAATGGAAAATTTACTTCTGGAAGCAGAGCAGGAGTTCACTATTGATCTCTATAGGACAGGGGAGTTAAACTGAAATTCACAGAGGCCAATATTAAAAACTGGGACTAAGTCATGGGCCAAACTAAATATTTCTTGAAAAATTTCAACAACATCTGCATGTTTTTTCTTCTTTCGAGATATGTAATATTAAACCTTTTCTTATTAAAATGAATGTTTAATAATAGTTTTTAATAACAAAATTTGAAATAAATAATGTCTCTATAGCCTATCTGTAGCCGGCGGACCAGCTCTAATACATATTTGATATGATCTCGCAGGCCAAACATAATTATATTGCGGGCCAAATTTGGCCCCCGGGGCCTGAGTTTGACATGTTTGCTATAAGGGAATATTTTATAATTTCAAACAAAATACTGCACAAATTACTGTTATAGTTACATGTGAATAAATAATTCATAAATGTTTGTTTTGGTATCATTATTTCATTTACTGTTTAAATGAACAAATTTGGACATTGTTTGGAAATACCACATTTTTCACACAGCAGTTTCGAAATTTAACACCAAAAGCTGAATTGAGGACGCCAAAAGAGGAGTCATCAGCTGCAACCTTTATTTTTCAACATAAAAAGTCCAAAAACTCTAAATACTCTCTAGTTTAGACAATGCAATATACTTTTTGATTCTTAGATAGTTGTTTGGATCACCTATGTCTGTATAATTTTATTTTTGAAGTAACACTACTGCTACTTTTACTACAATATTTTTGCCTGCTCTCCCACCTCTGGCTCTGGGGCCACTGCTGAGTCTTTCACAGTTCGTCCCCAGTCATCCCAAACCAGAGGGGGTCCCACTCGTATAGACTTGTGTCATTGACGTTTACAATACAACTTTCATGCACTCTCTTCCCTTTCAGCTTCCTGGTTGGACTCCTCTATTCTGTCCAAAACATCCAGATGCCCTAACACAGAGGTTTCCATGGAGACGCAGCGCAGGCATAAAACGAGCCTTTCCATCATACGAGAGCCCTTTTTAACCAAGCCCTCTGCACACTCGCTGCATTTGTGATCTAATATTGTATGGGACAGAATGAGGCATTGTCCCCGGTCTGCAGAGGGGGGGCAGTAGTGAGAGGGGTGGGGTGGAGGGTCTTTGGGGTGGAGTGGTTCTTCCTTCAACAAGCGCCAACAATGAGCGAGTCTGTGAGCTGCCCGGCCTCCTGGTTTTACTTTGCTTCTGCCTTTTTATATGCATACATCCACTGGTGAAATATGCAAGATCTGTATGTAGTTAGAAAATAAGGACTTTAAGCATTAAACAATAACTAAAGTATGTTTAAGTTTCTGACATGCAAGACTCCTGCTGTGCAAACAATAATGGAGGGGAAGTCCATGTGTTTTATTTATAATTTATAGATGAGAGACATAAATGAAAGTATTTTTTTTACTTAAAGCCACGGTATATAACTTTTTTAGACAACAGACTTCATTTTAGTAGAGAGCGGTCTTGCATCTCCACATACCTGACTCTTATTTGGCTTGGAAATATTGTTCCTTTGACTAGAATCTTTAATGGTACGGAATAAAACGTATCTATCTCCATGGAGAAAGTTCCAAAATATGTTTTAACTTCCATGGTTAAAAAAAAAGTTACATACTGACACTTTAACTGTGCACCGTGTACATTTCTGATTAAGGGTCTGCTGCTTTGCCAAAAAAGTTCCACGGTAAAGCATTTTTTATGGTTAAAATACTTCAAAAACAGGCATTTTTACTAAGTTTTACTGTTGTACTTGTATTTCACCTGCTTGTTTTTCACCAGATGTTGCACGTTGCATGTTTAAAAAGTTAATAACCACAATCATAAATCACTAATAAAATGTATATTAATCACTAACTAAACATTGACTGATCACAGGAGTTTTCAGATGATCTAAAAACTTATCCGATTGTGTTTGCTAATGTGTGAAATGTGTCTCTACTGCTGAACATACATGGAAATATATGCAGTACACCCCAAGTGTCATGTTACTGAAAAGTATTAACACTTTAGGATTGATATATTGCAGTCAATTCAAGAAATTAACAGAAACAACAATGCTCTAATTGTGTGATAAACTGAATATAAGTCATCATACTTCTTTACCATTTGAAAGGTTGTTATTTTAAAATGGTTCACTATGTCACAAGCTCCGTAGATTACTGCTTAGGAAAGTAATTGCTGTGAAATGTTGAATGTTGAAGTGAGACAGAGGTGCGCCCCCATCCCAGCGTGTCAAGAGTGTCATTCCCACTCTCTGCTGCACCACTCAAAGAATCACTTATGCTCAAATGAATTAAAGCCATGCAGGAGCTGTGCGGTGTTCTGGGGGTGTTCTGGGAGAGTTCTGGGGGAGCAGGGGGTGTTTTGGGGGAGCGGGGTTTCTGAAGCGTGACTCAAGCCCTGACCTTTGCATGGCCCGCGGATGACCTCCAGCTGAGGGTCACGGCACTTGGCTCGGAGAAACTCGCAGCGAGACGTGAATGTTCGTCCATCGGAGGCGCACAGGGACTTCCGGGAAGCGCCGTTGCAGTCCATGTTACACTCCTTATCCTGGTCCACCCGCAAGAACTGCACAACAAACAACAAGGAAATGAGTACAAGACACACACTATGTATTTAAACTCTTATTACACTGTACAAATCTTTTCTAGCCACTTTCTGCTTTTCCACACTATGGCATTAAATGTACCGATACAGCATTTATTTCAATACAGGTGTTTTTATTGCCACAAAACATGCATTTATACTGTGAGCTGGCTCGCCTCTCAACAAATCTGGGCTATAACTTAGCCTGATCTTGCCACCAAGAGATGTTTAATGCCAAAGTGTGGAACCCTCTAAACAACACAATAATATCTCTATGGGTCTGTCTCCATAAAGATAGATAAGTTTCACGCCCATGTGGAACCTATCATGTTATAAAGGTGACAAAAACTCTGGAATCAGATATTAATTCAGGATTTCCAATACTGATCTGATTCCTTATCAGTGATGGCAAAACATTCTCCACCAACTTGCTGGATTGTTGCACCATACCTTGTAGTTCACTACTCGCTATGAGAACAGTGAGACCTCAATTCAGGACTAGAGTGAACAGAAGACAGCAGCACATGTTCAAAATCAAGCCATGTTTTGATGCTTTGTGATGATATAATTCAACGTTATAGTAATATTGAGGAGTGATGGTGGAAAAAGGAGAAACAGATTCTGACTTCGGAAGAACAGAGAAACTTCACACAGAAAAGATACAACCGGTTTGGGAATTAAACCTGCCTGCAGAAGTCCTAACATCATTTTTCATCACGCCAAATACAGTATATTTTAATAGTCCATTTGAGAATTACTTACATGATTGAAAAAACATACATTACTGCAGATACGTTTTGTGCAGCCTACCGGTAAGTAGCAGCTGCTACAGTTGTAGTAGTAGCTCTAGCAACAGTTTAGGCAACTGCTGAGAGGCTAGCACTCACCTCACAGCAAGAAGGTTCTGAGTTTTCTGTGCAGGGTTTGAATGTTACTCCATGTGTAATCTGAGCTCTAGGATTTCCCCCATCAACCCAAACAGACACAATAGGTAAAAGAGCTGAAGATACCCTAACTTTAACCATGGTATTACAGTGAAAAAAGCACCAGTAGTTGTAAGTTGTAGCAGCTGTAGTAGCAGTAGATGCAGTAGTAGTAATAGTTGTGTAGTGAGAGTGGCAGTGGAGTGCAGCTGTGTTGAAAAAGCCCGGAGTTGACTGACACTTCCTTGTCTTTTGTGCGCTAACACCTGTGCAGTATTCTGTGTTCACTGTGAGGATGTTTTACTGAGCCATGAAAAGGGAAACAAGGACCGGCCCGGGCTCGGATCACCAGAGTCAATGCCACCTTTGTGAGCGAACCCTCCACAGACCACACAATGGGGCGGTGCGGCGGTGGCCAACAAGCTGTGACTGCTACAATGAATGAAGACACAGTGAATGACAAGGCTGAATACAAACATGTCAGCAGAGTATTGGGTTTTCCTATTATTCACATTTCTGTAGAAGAATAATAAGAATAAAAAAATGCACTTCACGAGTTGATACAAGTTTGGTAGGTATTACTTTCAGATATGTTTCTTTAGTACAATATCTACAAATGAAAGCAAGCGAGAGATGATATTTTGAGGTTAAACTAGGGCTGGGCAATATGGCATGTGATTGTAAGTGATTACTTTTTTAAACACAAATAAAAATGGATTTCAATGTCGATATCATAAACATTAAAGACAAACTTTTAATACATATATATTTATTTATTTAAAGTCTGAACTTTGCTCCAAACCATATGACCAGACTAGACCTAGAATAAAAAGCTCCAAACATATCTCCAAAATGTAATGATTTCCCTGACCCTCCCTCAATTTTAATTTATATTTTATGAATTTAATGAAACAATTTTTGTGCATTGAGCTAGAAAAAGTGCACTGTCCATGTGGTGGTTGCAGTGGACTGATATCACTACCAGGCTTGGGTCAGGCATAAAGAAAATACTGACTCCAGCTCCAGCAACATAACTGAAAATAATTTTTAGTAAGTAAATATTGCATTCTGTCAACTGGATAAAAGATTTTAAGTGTATATATGTTTATAAGGGAGGATCTAACTACACTGAAACTAACACACCCTAGTAGTTTACAGTCAGGAGTATAATTTGTTAGTTATTAAGTCTATTGAACTTACCTACTATGTTCTGATCTGTTCACATAATTCAATCGTCCTTTGTAATGAAAACTACCTGGATGAGTGAAGGCTACGCAAACATGTTCTTAGTTATAAATAATTTGTGAGAAATGCACAAATTCCCACCACACACTGAGAGCACACTTTCAGATCTACACCTCAAAGCAGCTTGATATAAATCTTCAGCTAATCAAAAGAAAGAAAAAAGCTCTAACCATTAAAAGGGCGTGATCATGTGACATATAAATTTGTTGTGTCTGACATGTTACAAATGAAGTGAGAGAGGATTTCTGAAGCAGGAGATGAGTTGGAGCTGCCCTGGGCCTGTGCACCTGGAAGAAGAGAAGAACCCAACCCACTCTGTCAACCGCACTCATAAATCCTCACGCAGGATAGGCCCATTCAACAACTACACAAGAACTTAGGGATATTTACAAAGACACAAATGAAGATTTGAAAACATGTGAACTAGTTTCACCCCCGGTGAAAAGTGATCAAATCTTCCCAAGTGTGGACTAAAGGGATTTCCAAAGCACAGGGACGAGAAAGAATCCTCCAGCTGTGAGGCACAAATATGAATATGGATATATTTGCCCTTTAGGAAAAACTATAAATAAAAGTTTTTGGCAGCAAGGTTAAACGAAGCTATCACTGAGGCAGATGCTGTGCAAAACAAACAGCTACTACTACTACTACTACTACTACTACTACTTCTACTACTACTGCTACATCTATTACTGCTTTAAGTCAAACATATAGAAGATTGAAAAAAAAATTAGACTAAAACGACTAGTTACCAAAAGTACTTGGCCTGGGTATCATTAAGAAGTTGTCGATACGATGCATACCTTGATACATAGGCCACGATACTATATATCTCAATACAGTGCACTTTCGATTTGATTCGATACATTTCAAATCGATTTCATACAGTTTAATAAAAAATAAAGGCTAAATCATGACTGTGATACTAAAACTCTTTGTTAAACCAATTCTTCTAAAAAGTTCATAAGAAACACAAACATATTAATCCTTAAAACAGTGAAAATGCCAAATGTGTCGCATAAACGAGTTTTCTTCCTCTGAACTAGCAACAAAACTGTGGCGCTCTAACAAAATAATTTTGTAAAATATACCAAAAAATACTCTTGATGATATATTGATACAGCAGCTCTCAATATTGATACTGTATTATTAAACAATACCATATATTGATATTTTAAAATTGCACACCCCTATTCAAGACTGTGCAATCAACTAATTTAATTGCTTAATTAATTGATCAGTTGATTAATTGATTGATTGATTTAGTACCCTAATATTACAAAACTGGGCTGGAGCTTTCTGTAGGTTGTGACAGATGTTCAAATACTAGTTATTGGAATATGTTTTTTGCACAATCAAGCAAACTTATTTGCTCTTGGGTCTAGTTCCGAAGTTCAAAGCACTTCTATAAAACAATATGTACAATATTCAAGTCAATCAACAGTAACACCAAACCTGGATAAATAGAGAAAGTTATGCTTGAAAGTGCATCTGATGCAAACTTGCTATAATGACCCCACTGTGGACAAGTAAGAATATATAATAAAACCACCTCACACTTATTTTGTTTATAAAATAAGAGAACTTTCATTGTTAACATTAAATTGTGATTGCCTAAAACTTTTATGTAATCAGTTCCAAACGTTTCAGATAATGGCAGAAAGAAAATACTCGATTGTAATTTACAGTCTGAAAAATCTACACCGAATCTGGCTCCTGCACCTGCACATGGGAGGGGAGATGTCTGAATAAGCAATACTAAGCACACAGAGAGGGGAGTCTTTGTATTGGTGTAAAACAGTCTGTGAACCCAGGTCAAGTGCCCCTCCTTGTCCCTGTGGTGGATTTCTTATATTGTCTGGACCATGTAAAGCTGCAGCTAACGATTCAGATTTAGTAGTTGACTAAGGTCACTGATTATTTCTGTGTACTTTGAGACACATTTTAAAAAAGAAATATGATGAATGAAGACTTCTAGATCGAGAATATTTAAAAAAGAATAGAAATTTTGACATTTTTAATCTATAATGCTGTTTTCTTTTGGCCATAGCGTTTGCAATTATCAAAATATAATGGCAATAGGGATTTTTCAACTAATAGTCACAGCCCAAGTTTTCTATTCTCTGGTCCCTGTGGTTCTGAATGACACTCCCCATCGACTCTCCCTCCATTCTCCCACCCCGTTAGGGCATCCAGAGCAGCCTGACCTCCTCTCACCCTCCTCTCGTCTCACTTTGCCACAAGTTCAGCTGGCGTGACAAGCTTATTTGGCTGATGTCTACCGCAAAGCCAATCTGTGGAAATCCAGTTGAGCTGGGATGGGGTGAAAACGTTGACCACCCAAATCTCACAATGTCCCCGGACTATCCGTGTGATCCGGTGTGCCAGCCCAGTGACAGCCCAAACTGAGTCATTCAGCAGCTCAGTGTCCAGAGACATGTGAACTGAAAATCACATTACAGACTGCCAAGAGCCGCTATAGTCTGACATAGAGGACCAATCAAATAACAGGAACCACACAGATTCACATGTAAGGATTTTATCAAAGGCCAAAGCAAAAGACAAAGACCCCACGCAGAAACAGTACATCAAGTGAGATAAAGATAAAAGTAAATATTAGGAGTGACTGATATGCCAAAAAGGTTATATTACAGTAATATTTTTGATTTAATGTTGATAAAAGAGCTTGGATCTGCCTTAAACAGAACTGAATAATGACAAAATCACCAAAATTGTAGTATCTCTTGCAGAAATTAGATTAAGTTTTCTGTAAAACGTGCAAATAAGGTAAACTGTATCAATGAGGTAATTATATGGACCTGACCTGATTTTGAAAACTCACACGATCCAAGATTCAAAGTTTCAAACACAACCCACAACTGTCTTCTCCCATCATTCACTGTTAATGCACTCGGGACCTACTCCACCAGATGTTTATTTGATCAAGCAAAGCATGTGCCATTGTTATAAAACCAATATCATTAACTCTACATAGTCTATCTTTGCCCTGACACAAATGTTACAAACAGATGCACAGAAAAAGCAAAACTAAAAAAAAAAGTATGAAAACTAGGGGTATGCAAAAATATCAAAATATTGTTATATCATATCGTTTAATGTGATGATACAGTATCGATATCATGGACTGCTGTATCGATATATCACCAAGAGTATTTTTTGGTATGTTTTATTCATTTATTTTGTTACAGCGCTACAGTTTTGTTGTATGTTTAGAGGAAGGAAACTTGTTTAGTGTTTCATTCAGTGTACATTTTCACTGTTTTGATGATTAAAATGTTTGTGTTTCATATTCACTGTGCACAAGAAGTGGTTTAACAAAGACTTTTATCACAGATTTAGCCATTATTTTTATTGAACCGAATCGATTTGAAATATATCGTATCGAATTGAAAGTGCACTGTATCAAGATATGTATTGTATCGCGGCCTATGTATCGAGATATGTATCGTATCGTATCGTGGCCTATGTATCGAGATATGTATCGTATCGTATCGTGGCCTATGTATCGAGATATGTATAGTATCGTGGCTTATGTATTGAGATATGTATTGTATCGTGGTCTGTGTATCGAGATATGTATCATATCAGCAACTTCTTAATGATACCCAGCCCTAATGAAAACTATTTTAAATAAGTGAAGAAGAGCGATTGTGTTTTTTCCACAAACTTTGATATCTCAGTTACAATACAAGAGTACTATTGACAAAGAATTAAGTAGTTCTAGTTCAGATATGAGTCATTCTACTATTTAGAAATGATCTAACTTTTGTTCAATATTGATACAGTATCTTTTAAAGTCACCTCCCTGTCTGTACTGAATCATGTCCGGGTTCAATGAAGACATGTCCCGTACAGAGCTGCGGACATGCTCTGCAGATGTGTGTTTGTCCTGTGTTGATGGATGCTCCAGTCCTGACACTCCCCTGATGTCTCACTCCTCCTCTGTCCCATCAGCTCTGCCCCACGCAGTAACTCCACCGTCCCAATGATGGATGAGCCTCCTCAGCTGCACACAGGGCACCAGCTTCCACCACGATTCATCATAAAAGACAACTGCTACAAGACTCAACACATATTCACAAATGCATCATTTGCTGAGGTCCTGCAACTTCCTCTTTGCTTCTTGGTTCTCCTTCAGGACTTAAAATATATATAGGTCTAGAGCTGAATCGAAATCACAGTTGCAGTTTGAGTTGGTGCAATTATTCTTAGGAAAATAGAAAGTCCTCTGCAAATCTTTGGTGTATCTGTAGGTTCAGACTTCTACAAACATGTTCTGAATTTCATGAGACTGCCATATTTATAAGTTCTTTGAAACATTAATGCTTTAGCAATGTTAAAAATGTGCACTTTTAACATAATTCTGCTTTTTATTCATTCTGTATATTGCAACTCTGATCACAAATGCAATAATTTTCAAAAAAAAAAATGCCATTTGATTTTAAAAGCATGCCCACCCTTCCATATCATTCAAATTTTGCTCAAAAGATGCAGTTTGCAGATGCTAAAATAATACAAGAAGGTGGCAAGAGAAACAATTGATGAATGGGTAAGGCTAGAGCATTTTTTTTTCCTTTCCTTTTTTCCAAAACCAAGCAGCATACAATCAAATCCTATTACCTCCCTCTGGTGCTGCAGAATTGTGGTTTTGAATTGGGTACAGAGGAGGCTAGACTCCAGCAGAGAGCATATTGAACGGACGATAAGGGCCTTTTGGGAACGGAGGGCCCTTATTTCCAACACCCAGAGAGGGTCAATATAGGGGCCCAGCTGGGAGAGTGTTAAATCGCCTTTGCTGGAGTTTCCTACTTAGGATACAAGGATGCAAAGGGGGATCATTAGTTTCAGCATGGTGCAATGGAGAAGAAAGTGAATGGGTTTAACAAGGCCGCTACCTCAATCTCAGAAAACCGAAGTACTTCTTGTTAGAAAAGTGCTGTGACAACCAAGCAGGTGCACTCGTGAAGTACTGAGAGTAGGGCACAAAATGGCTTTATACAGGTTAGGACAGAGGCGGCCAATGTTCTTTCATTATTATTTCATATTTCCAAAACCTGTGGAAAAAATCAGCCTCATGAATAACCTGGGCTAATGTCCCATAGATTTAAGTACTTCTTTGACCTCAAATATGCACCAAATATTGCACAGAGCCAGCAAAAACCTCCCTTGTGTCAATCAAACAACTGCAATAGAAAATAGATAGATTGCCGTGCAGTAAAAGTGGCCATAAACTGAAATTATATAGCGTGTTGCATGATAGCCAAGACTCTACATTAAAATGAATGTGGAGACTTTTGACACCCATATAAAGCGCTACTGTCAACTCGCTGAACCGTGGCTCGCCTCTTTCTCTCTCTCCCTCCCTCTCTCTCTCGCGCACCGTCTACATCATTGTTAAAATTCATGGTGCAACTGCGCGGTGCACGGCGTATTCCACCCACATTCCACAACTGCACAGCGCTGTCAGCGAGCAAGCTTCTCCGACCCCTCACCTGCGGGTTAACAACTTTTGGCCATTTGTTTCCAATTGGATATTAAGGCATTTTCAGTCTCGCCATAAATAACGGTGCAAAAGGAGCAGCTTCTAAATCATGAGGGGAAGCCTGTGACAGCGCACATTCCTCTATATTACTATTACTGATGCGTTAACGCTGCTACCCGCACGTGATAATGCCAGGGAAGTTATGGCTATATCTTCCTCAAAACATGGACTTTATAGTGAAAAGTTTACATTTAATTTGTAACTGTTATTAAGCAAAATCATGAAGGGCTTCGACTGGCAGGTTGAAGATGTAAAATTGATGTTTAGAGATGGAAGGAAGGAAAAGACAGTCAAGAATACCAATACCATGGAGTTGCAAACAAGTTCCAAGTTCACACAAACTACACGTTTTTATCATAAATGGTAACTATACCTGGATAAATTACGCGCAACATAAGATGTATTTGTCCTTGTTTATCGATTTTTATGTTTATGCATTTGTATTAAGTCATAAACAACTTTACGCATACGTTCTACTCCAATTTCACTACTCCAATTCCAGCGTTTACGTAATTTAGAAACATGTGGATGATGTGTAGTTATTCCTACCGTGAGGGCTGAGAACTTCTGAGAGCTTCCAGCGCACACCAAACTGAACAAGACAAGCAGAGGACAGGCGCGCATCCTGATGCAGTGTGGCAATGTACTTTCTCCAAATTACGCACGGGTCAAACTTCTCAGTCTTCAGTCCGGACAGTCTGAATATGTGTCTTTGGGTGGTTGTAAATGTGTATAATCCACAGTAGTCCACAGGAGTTCTCGTTATGGTGGTGACGGGCGTGTGGGTTTATTCAGTCTCGTCTGCGCGGTTTGGACTGCCACTGCGTTTGTGTAGACACTCTCCTTATTTCTGGCAGCGCGATAAACCCCCCCGTGTCCCTGACCTTTTCCCCTCCCTCGATGTGTCTTCTCGCTCTCTCCAGCTCTGCTCCACACCCCCTCCACACTTGTATTCTGTGCGCTAGATATGATCCCTTATCGGATGCAGGCAGTTTCCAGTCTGTAGGTGGGGAGGTAGGTGACTCCGGCTGCTGCTGGTAGCTGAGCCAAACACGTCAGGTATTCTTTTCTTTCACCTCTTTTTTTCTGTGCTTCCAAAACCACAACAAGTGATCCCTTTTCAAGAGCCGCTGTGATGGGGCTGCGCTGGCAGACAGAGGAGGGATAGAGCCGTCTACAGGGAGGGCCTGCCAGAAATTCTCACAGCGCATGGCTGAACATTCACTGTCAACAAGATATATGCACTTTTAATGACTAGACAAGAACTCTTTCATAAATCCAATGTGGTAAATAAACGTCAATATATATGGTATCTAACGTCAAAACATGGTGTTATGCAAGCTACGATACAGGCTTTCCCTAGTCGAGCAAGTTACAAATGTGGAGGTTGCAAATTTGGTTTAAATACTGTAGGACTTGGATGCTGTGAAATAACACGAACACTATACATGCTGTTGACTAGTATGATCAAGAGACTCTAACGCCATCAAACGGCACTCATGCGTAACTACATCAAATACAAGTTCAGTTTTACTTCTCAACGAGTCAACTTCAAAAGCTGTCATTTTTCATTGTATTGCATTCTTAATACTTCATACAACAGCGTAAACTGAATCAAAACTTTTGTATATTAAAGGCAGCTTACCGTCCGTGACTTTAACTATGCTTTAGGTTTGTGGCATTTGCGAGCACGCTGGCTCAAGATGCTATGCTCGAATTGCTCAATTTACTACATTTCCCACAATGCGTTGCTCTACTGGCGTTCGAACGTTACGTCACACGCTCCGTTTTCCGCTTCCTCTTCGGTCCCGGCGAGAGCTGCGTGGTTTAGCGGCGCTAGCCAGCTTAGCACATTCACTCTTTTCACTGCTCTGTGCCGCTCCTGGATATATTACTACAAAATGTCTTATCACGACGAGGAGGAGGTGAGCATACTCTTTCTCCCTCTGCGTAAATCTCTGCGTAAAATGTTAGTTGTCAAGCCATTTGCATCAATATCAAACAGGAGCTAGCGGGTGTAGCGTGTAGCATCCAATACCATAATACTGAAGTGCCTCTATACTACATGATCACTTATTGAATTGTTAGAAATCTATTAATAATAAAAACTGTTATTTAAATCTAAACGTGAAGCTACATGTGTGGTATTATCCAACCTGAACACGTAAAGGTGGTGATGCTAGGGCAGTGTTGTGATAAACAATGAGTGACAGATGTTTCTTTCTCCTCCAGTACGATCCCTATGCCTATCCCAATGACTACGACCTGCACACAGGTTAGTATTGCGCCATGTGTCTTATTTGCAGTTGTAAAGCTATTGTGTATCTCATTGTTTACTCCAAACTTGTCTGTTTTTCCAGGCGACCCCAAAGCAGACCTGGCGTATGAGAGGCAGTACGAGCAGCAGACCTATCACGTTATCCCAGAAGTGATCAAAAACTTCCTGCAGTATTTCCATAAAACCATCTCGGACCTGATCGATCAGAAGGTTTATGAGCTGCAGTCGAACAGAGTGTCCAGCGAAAGCATCGAGCAAAAGATCTACGAGATTCAAGATGTCTATGAGAACAGGTGCACTGCTCAGACATTCACAAGTGTTTCTAAATGTGTGTTGTGATTTTGACGTCTTTATTCATCTTTTTTCAGCTGGAATAAGTTGACAGATCGTTTCTTCAAGACATCTCCCTGGCCAGAAGCAGAGGCTATTGCATCTCTTGTTGGCAATGGTGGGTTCATGCGTCTTCTTTTATATAATGACATACAAACTATTACATTTATAACCTGACTCTAAATTGATCACTTTCTGCAGATGCCGTGTTCCTCATCCTCTACAAGGAATTGTACTACAGACACATCTATGCTAAAGTCAGCGTAAGTAATGGTTTAATTTCACTCATTAGTAATCAGTCATCCTGGTGTTTTTTTTTTTTTTTTTCCCCCCACACATATTGTTTTCTGTCTTATTAGGGTGGCCCTACCTTAGACCAGAGGTTTGAATCATACTACAACTATTGCAATCTCTTCAACTACATTCTCAGTAAGTATTTCTCTTGAAAAGACTTAGCTTTATTTAAATTGTTAGGTAAGATAAAGGAAATTGTATCATTATTAATAATAATTAACAGATGCCGATGGCCCTGCTCCCCTGGAGCTTCCGAATCAGTGGCTGTGGGACATCATTGATGAGTTCATCTATCAGGTAATTTGATCTAATTTCATGCGTGTGGTTAAATAATTATTAAATGTACTTACAAATAATGTTGAGTGAGTTACTTGAATGTAACTTATGTAATACAATTTGGGGAAACAAAATTGTTGTTTTGTTGTTCAGTTCCAGTCCTTCAGTCAGTATCGCTGTAAAACGGCAAAGAAGTCTGAGGAGGAGATTGAGTTTCTCAGGAGCAACCCAAAGATCTGGAACGTCCACAGCGTCCTCAATGTGCTGCACTCCCTTGTTGACAAAAGCAACATTAATCGCCAGCTCGAGGTTTACACCAGTGGAGGTACAATTATGTTTACGCTGTGTAAAATAAACAAAATAGTCGTCCTCATTCTTACAAGGGGTATCTAACTTCTGCTATCAATGAAATGATTGGATTTGTTGTATTAATGTTGGAAATGTGTTGCAGGTGACCCAGAGAGCGTGGCTGGGGAATATGGACGTCACTCTCTGTATAAAATGTTGGGATACTTCAGTTTGGTGGGGCTTCTCAGATTGCACTCTCTGCTTGGTGATTATTATCAGGCCATCAAAGTCCTGGAGAATATTGAGCTCAACAAGAAGGTAAATTAATATGCACCATTAACTTTGACTTTCTATTTACCAAAACTGACCAAATTGCTCCGGTCTTTCAGAGCATGTATTCTCGTGTGCCTGAGTGCCAAATTACCACCTACTACTACGTGGGCTTTGCTTACCTGATGATGAGGCGTTACCAAGACGCCATTCGGGTCTTTGCCAACATCCTCCTCTACATCCAAAGAACGAGAAACATGTTCCAGAGGTCTACATACAAATATGAGATGGTAAGTACTATAAATTACTATATAATTCTTAAACTAATCACATTATCAGACTATTAAAATAAGAAGCTAAATGACACTATATATTTCCCCGTCAGATAAACAAGCAGAATGAGCAGATGCATGGGCTTCTGGCCATTGCTCTCACTATGTATCCAATGCGCATTGACGAGAGCATCCACACTCAGCTGAGGGAGAAGTATGGGGACAAGATGCTGCGCATGCAGAAAGGGTAACAGATGTCAAATTACTTTTTATACAGTAAAATGCAGCCTTTATTTTGACATGTTTTTTAAATTCTATACACTTCCACACTTACTTCCACAGAGACCTGCAGGTGTTTGAGGAGTTGTTCAGCTTTGCCTGTCCCAAGTTCCTCTCTCCTGTGGTGCCAAACTACGACAACGTTCACCCAAACTATCACAAGGAGCCCTTCCAGCAGCAGCTCAAGGTGTTTGCAGAGGAGGTGCAGCAGCAGGCACAGCTCTCCACCATCCGCAGGTACGGCTAATGTTTCAGAGCTGTTCTCATACACCTCAAGGAATTAGTTATAAATGTTTAATCACAAATGTGTCTGCAGTTTTCTGAAGCTGTACACCACCATGCCTGTGGCCAAACTGGCCGGGTTTTTGGACATGACTGAACAGGAGTTTCGCATCCAGCTCCTGGTTTTCAAACACAAGATGAAGAATCTGGTTTGGACCAGCGGCATCTCTGCTCTGGATGGAGAGTTCCAGTCCGCCTCCGAAGTCGACTTCTACATTGATAAAGTAAACACATTCATATAATGACTATCATTAAATTGTGTTATATTCTGTAGTCACTTATCTTTTGCTCAAGGCAGTTTTCATTTGCCTTGAATTGACACTAAACTTATCTTTTATTTTGCATCTCAACAGGACATGATCCACATTGCTGACACCAAAGTGGCTCGTCGTTATGGCGACTTTTTCATCAGACAGATCCACAAATTTGAGGAGGTATGTGTGATCATCTGGAGGAAGTAGCAGCCATTATGCCCAACATCCAGTCTGATGTTTTATGTGTTTTTCTAATGCAGCTCAATAGGACACTGAAGAAGATGCCCACTGGGACCACATCTTCAAGCAGCAGTGCAGCTCGGGGAGTCTGACCAGAAAGATTTTGAAAAATAATATTGCTTTTTTCTATGTTACATTGAGAACAATAAAAGGATGGAGTGAGATACTAATTGAGTGTTTTCTATGGAAAAATACGTAACCACTAGATGGCAGCATTTATATATCAGAAAGCTGGGGTTCTCATTGATAGATTCAGAATCTTCTTTGATAAAATGTTGTGTTGACTCCAATTTTCGAGACCATTGTGTAATCCTTTTATTACCACAGATCATTCAGTAACATTTCCCAACATAGATCTCAGGGCTGGTGACAATGACAAATAACTTACAAAGTGGAGGTAAAAAATAATGTAAAAACACACCACTCTTTTCAAAAACAGGATCAGCCTCATATAAACAAAAACATTCACCACCAGAGCACAATACACATACTCTTCAGACATCCAAAAGTGTTATTTCCTACCTATTTTGGTAAGCCAGCATTATTCTTCAAAAATATCTTGAGTCCATAACATTTTTATTTTTTCTATAAAATAAAAAAATAAAGCAACCACTGCCCATTTTGAGCATTTAATGTTTTACTCCCTCTGGTGGCAGTGAAATGTCTCTGTGGGCACATCGCCATCTTCAAGTCTATAAAAAGGGATCATTTATTATTTTTATTCCACCTATTAAGTCTTTACTCCGGGTTTTCAACAGCAATATTAAATCCATCATGAAAGATTCAAGTCCATTGGTCTATTGGTTATTCATGAACAGAATGCTTTATTGGTTAGCCAAGATAGAGGGGCTAACCGAGA